TTGGCAGAGGTGAACCCGGGGCTGGGGAAGATGGACAAAGCTGCCACTTCAGGAAGTTGGAGGGAGCCACACGCGACTGGTTTTCGAGGTGCTTCCCACACTGGGGCTGGGAGGTCGTGCTCATTTATAGGACAAGGCTGGGTGCAGCAGGTGGAGGGTGGAAGGGAGGGCCCTGAGCTGGAGGGGCGCTGGGACATCGCACGCTCCAACCCTGTCGCTGTGGGATGAGGAACCAGGGCAAAGGGAAGGAGGAAGAAAATGAGGACACGGGCCTCGGGACTGGCGGAGGCTCCTGGCACCCTCTCCTCACCTGTGGCCTAAAAACACACGAGATGCTCAAGAGGATAAAGACAGGAACAGTGCGTCGCTGTCCCCTACGGAGGTGGCGCGTTCAGGAAGACGGCGCGGAACCAGGAACTGCTCCCATCTTCAGGAAGCTACGAACTGGGGCAGGGCGGGAGAGGCGGGAAGAGGGCCAGGCAGGGTGCATGCAGAGACCGTGCCGGGGGACTGAAAACATGACGGCGAAGCCAACTTCCTCTTCAGACACGGTTCCTGGAACCTGAGCCCAGAGAGACGAAGGACAGCCCACATGCTCTTTGCCCGCATGCAGCCAGCGGTGGCCGCCGGTGGCATCTAACATTGGGCCTACTCTTTTTTTTTTTTTGAGAGAATTTTTTGCTACAGTATGTGTGTGCACTTGCCAGAGAGACAGAGAAAACAGAAAACATGAAATTACCACCCTGGGTGGGTGTGTGTGGGGGGGTGGCCACACCGCAATCCCTTCTCCTCTCGGATCTTGGGCACGCACGCACAAGCACCTGGCGTGAGTTTTAAGCTGCCGGATCTGGGACTCGAACAGCAGTCGACTGCATGGGAGTCCAGCGACATAGTCATTACACCCTCTGCTGCTCCCTGTCTTACGTCTTCCTGGAAGGTACTGGAGGGAGTGTCTCACAGAGGCTCCTGGAGCCAGGGAGCACGTAGACCTGATCCCCAGCAGAGCAGCTCCCAGAACGTGTCGCTCTGCGGGAAGGGGCCATGAGACCACATCCATGTTCCTCCCAGCACTAACACTTCACAGACATAGAAACTCCTGACGCAACACGGGATGCCCAAGGGCTCACAGAATATGACGACAGAGGTAACACGGAGGCTGTCCCTGCAAGCCGAACACTGATTCTCACTCACGGCTGTGCTCTTCCCTGAAGGCTGCCACTGTGGAGAGGACGGGCCAGCCACAGGCACCCTGACTAGGAGACAGTCGCAGGGGACGCTGTGCTGGTAATGAGTTCTAGACCTATCCATCATGACCCATGTGACCAGGCGCCAGTTCCTCAGCCATCCTGAGCCTCAACTTCCCAATATGTGGACAGCTTGGCCCCCACAGGACTGTCACGAAGACCAGCTCTGAAAAGCTTCTCCACCAAGAACATGCAACAGGACGTCAGGGGCTGGTCTAGACACGTCTATCAATGGCACCACTGGCAGAATATACCATAACTAGCCTACTTCTTTCTTTATTACTACTTTTTAAAAAATTTCCAGCAAGTGCATACCTGTGCCAGAAACAGATAAACAAAGAGAGCCGCCCCCCCCCCCCCCCCCCCCCGCGCCCCCCCCCGCCACGGTGCATAGTCATGCCACAATCTCTTCTCCTCCATCGCTCCACACGGTCGGGATTCTGGGGCACACAAACACGCACACACGTGGCGTGTCTGCCAAGTCGCAGGGTCAGGATTCCAGCTGCACAGCTGGACGCGGGGGATCCAGCACCCACAACCAGGAGGCTGCAGCTTCAACAGACTCTATGCCACCGTCATGGAAACCAGCGGTGACATCTGGACATGGAAAGCCAGGCCATCACAACAGGGTATGCAGGTAGGGACTACAGTAGAACTTCAAAACATTCACGGAAAATGGAATGGAAAGTGTAAGTTCGTTTTGGCGCAGAGAGACAGGGAAACCCATGCGTAGTTTTCCTAACACACACTTTCTACGAATTTTCTGAAGACCCCTCGTATATTAGGTATCTGCTGACACAGGCACAATTCTTCTTTTTTTTTTAATTTCCCAGAGGGCACGTGCACTGGGGGGTGAGGGGGGAGGAAAGTGGAGAATGGTCACAATCTCGACTTCTCCCTCTCTCTCCTTTGAGGATTTTGCTTTTCAAGTTGCCAGGTCTGGGTCTCAAACTGTGCAGTTGGCTCCGTGGGATCCAGCTCCTTAACCACGAAGCCATGGCTGCCCCCACAAAGCCACAATTCTAGAAAGGAAATACTGGCTGCTCCAGCCCTCTGAGGAAGACCGTCCGTGTGCTGGGAATAGAAACAGCCCGGAAATAAATGGCCTCATCTGAGTAAATCCTCCAAGCTCAGGGCTCTCATCTGAAGGAGGACAGAGGGAGGCTGAGCGACAGCAGGGGAGAGAGGAGGTGAGAGCCATGTCAGTCACCAGATCCAGGCCACCTGCTTTCAGAAAAGCAGTAACAGAAATACTCACTTCTGCATAGGCTCTCAGCAAGTGACAAACAGGTGTCACCCAAACTGGGTAGCAACAGAGACTGCTGTGTGGGGTGGCTTCTCTCAAAGACCCCTTTTTCTTTCTGAACTGTCTTCCTGAAAACTGTTACTTGACTTCGGCAGGTTACATCATATTTTTTTTTTTTTTTTTAGAGAGAGTTTTGCTATAGGGCGTGTACACTCACTGGAGGGACAGAGACAGAAAGCGAGAAATCACCCCCCCAGGGGGAATGGCCATGCCACAATCCTTTCTCTTCCACTCTCCTCCCGGAATCTTGGGAATACATACACACCCAGCGTGAGTTTAAGCCACTGGGTGTGGGATTCGAACCACGGTCAACTACATAGGAGTCCAACGCATAACCATTATACCATCTGCTGATCCTGGCTTACGTCATTTTAATGGAAAGAAAACAAGGACCTGAAAAAGCAACTGGTATTTCACTCTAGAAACCCTGGTTCCTGTTGGTAAGTACTCCCTGGACAGGAACTCTGGACTGCCACCTCGCAATTCAGGACCTGCCACATCAGCAAGAAGCACCGTGTCTGTGGGGAAAGCCCCGGGGGTGGTACAGCCTCGGCCCCCAGCCAGGCTCCCCGGCTTCCTCTCCCCTTCTTGCACGCCCCTGGTTTCTAGATGGGCTCTCTCCCTTAGCTGTTCCACCTCATCTAGCAGAAACTGCCTTCAGTGAGCTTCAAAGCTTTGTGGCCGATCAACCCTAAACCCAGGGTTTCCACCTGGGTACAGAGCAGGACTTGCTCAATCCTCCGCCTACCCACCACCCCGCTGTAAACCCCCCACCTCAGATGCCATATTCAGCAAGCAAAGTACAGGCTACCCAGTAAAATTCGAATTTCAAATAAACAAGTCATTTTTAGTATATTCCACATGCTATATAGAAAATACTTATACTCAAAATGATTATCTGAAATTAGAACTTAATTGTTTTTTTTTTCTTTTTTTTAAGGCTTTTGCCATAGGTACTCACTACAGAGAGACAGTGAGAGACAGAAAGTCAGAATTGCCCCCTAGGGGGATGGCCATGCTGCAATCCCTCTTCTCCTCCATTTTCCTACTGGGATTTTGGGCACGTACACACGTGTCTGGTGTGATTTTCAAGTCACCAGCTCTGGGACTCGAACTGGGGTCAGTCATGGGGGAGTAAAGATCTTAACCACCATGCCACCTGCTGGCTCTGTATTCTGTATTTAATCCAGCAATTCTGTGCCGCACATACACTAAGCCTCAGTTTTAGGTTCTAGCTATTAATATGTGGGTTAAACTCCAAAGAGGTAAGAATCTCAACTCAGTCTGCTCTCAGATCAATGATATAAATCTTATAAGAACATTCGGATTATAAAATAAGAGTTGTCTGACCATGTCAACATTAGGAGAACATGGTATAAAATTTTTTTTTTTGGAGAGGTTTTTGCTATAGGGCATGTGCATTCACCAGACAGACAGAGACAGAGAGACAGAAAGCGAGAAATCACCCCCCAGGGGGGATGGCCACGCCGCAATCCCTTCTCCTCCATTCTCCTCTCGGGATCTTGGGCATGCACACACACGCGTCCAGCGTGAGTTTTAAGCCACCGGGTGCAGGATGCAAATCGCAGTCGACTACGTGGGAGTCCAGTAACATAACCATCACGCTAACTGCTGGTCCCCATGGACTTAAAATTTTAAGCGCAGTGCTTATCCTAAACTTCCATTTAAAATCAGCTTCTAGAAACTACTATTTGAAAAATACTTTGGGGACAGTTTCCTGGCAATTTAAGTCTGTCACTCGGACTATACGTCACACTCGGTGTTTCTCTGGAATAAGTGACGTTTGGAGTATATAAGAAGAATTCGACCCCAATCCATCACTGATTTTTCACAATAAACAGGGGCCCTTGTGACGGCCTTAGCAAACCAAGAGAAAACGGCCAGTGGCAGAATTTATACCATTTCCCTTTAAGGTTACGTGGCAGCCCAAAGAAGCTCACAGAATGTTTGAAATTTAAAAAGCTGCATTGAGGACTCTGGGATGGAATTTCTCACGTCAAAGCATGGGGCTCGCTGTGCCCCAACGCCTTCACACAAAGTCCTGCTTCTCCTGAGCTGCTGCCTAGCTTGGCGTGATAGACGATCTCACTACCTTCTCGAGAAGGGAATGGGTGAACAGCAATGAGGGGTCCAGATTGGAGGCCCGTGACCCCCTGCGCGGAACACCTCCCTCCTGAGCAGCCCTTTGGGGGCTCCGATCTTGGGCCTCAGTCACTGAGTTACTAAGAGCACACGGGGAAAGCCCCCAGCACCACCAGGCAAGCCTGCCATTTCCGACACTGACAGAGAGAGCCTAGGAGTGGGTGGAGCTATAGGAAGCGGAAATAGCCCCACAAGGCGCCCCCACCCCTGCTTCCCACGGCTGCTGGGGCTCAGCCTCCTAGTCGGGAAGCGAGACTCACCAGCTGCGAGCCCAGGGGCCCTCTTACCAGTGTGTGTGAGCATGTGCCGCTGCAGGGAGCTGGCCCACGGGAAGACCCGGGGACAGTGGGGACAGTTGATCTTTTGCAGGCAGTTGGCGTAGGAGTTCCGCTTAGCCCTCAGCAGTCTGTCCTCGGCGGGGCTGCCCTGCTCTTCGTCGCTGGGCCCCTGGTGGTCGCTGGGGGCTGCGGCCACCTCGTCCTGAGTGTCATCCTCTGCGCTCTGCAGAAAGGGGCTGAACTTGTTGGTGTCGGTGGTGGCCAGCATCTTCTCAATGCTGGCGAACTCCCCGCTGGAGTCCAGGTCCACCCCACTGCTGTTGCTTTGGGGCGGGTTCCTCGCCTTTTTCCGGCCCCTCTTCTTGGAGGAGCCAGCGGGCCCCTGGTCGGTGGGCGAGGCTGCCTCGGGGCTGCTGGCTGTGGGGGGTGGGTCACTGGATTCGTTAGGGCTGGTGGTGTCAGCAGGGACAGTGGCAGTGTTGGGGACGGAGACCCCTATGCCATCTGGAGCTGTGATGTTGCTGACGGCGTTTGTGGGCCCGAGGTCTACCACCTTGGTCTTCAGCAGGGTGGGGGCCGAGGACACGGATGAGATGATCTGAGCTATAGAGGCCAGGGGGGGCAGCTCCTCCGACACGGTGGGCTTTGGCAGGAGTAGGGGGGGCTTGGGGCGCAGTGGTCGCAGCAAGGCTGGGCTGCTCAGAAGGGCTGAGTTGCTGATGAGGGCCGAGCTGCCCAGGAAGGAAGGGGTGCTGACCACAGCTGAGGAGTAGATGGGGACCGCGAGCTGGACAGAGCCCTGCAGGGGCTGGGCGTGAGGCTCCAGGGTGCTGGCTGTTGGGGCAGCTGCAGCGGGCACCACGGGGCTCTCCAGGACGCCAGTGGGCCCCAGAGTCACTGGCACAACAGGGCATGGTGGGGGACAGGGAGAGGGCTGCCTGCTGCTCCCTGCTTCCTGCTCAGGCTTCCTGGCTTCACCGGGAACAGCCAGGTCCTTGTCTCCCTTCCTGAAGTTCTTGGGGATAGAGAGGTCAATGGGTTCCATGGAGCAGTCGTAGGGGACCCCAGAAGAGGGGCTCAGGAAGGAGATGCTTTCCTGCTTCACTTGGACGAGGGCCAGGCCCTTCTGAGAAAAGTCCAGGGGCTCGTTGAAGTCCACTGCGAAGTTGCTGGCTGGCTCCAATTTGACCGAGACGTGAGGAGGGGCCCCGTGAAGAAAGCCGTTTTGGGGCTCCAGGAAGGCGGCAAGGGGCTTGCGGTCCCCCAAGGCAGGGCAGCCGCCCTCCTCCCCTCTGGCCGCGGCCTCGGCAGGCGGAGCCTCGGCGTCGGTGGCCAGCACGTAGCTCTCGATGTCGTGCTCGGGCACGTGCAGGTGCTGCTTGAGGATGTGGTGGATGCAGTTGCGCTTGGCGGCGAAGGTGGCGCTGCACTCCTTGCACTCGAAGGGCTTGCGGGCCTTGGGGCAGCCGCCCAGGCCGCGGCCACAGTGTGTGCGCATGTGCACGCGCAGCGCGCGGTAGTGCTTGAGGTCCTCCCCGCACAGCCGGCACACGGTGTCCGGGGCGCAGAAGGCGTCCACCAGCTCGGCCGCGCTGCTGCTCACGTACTCGATGTTCTTCTCGATGTCCTTGCGCGTGGCCTTGAGGTGCTTCTTGCGCAGGTGCCGCTCGCAGTTGGCCTTGACGGTGAAGGGGTAGTGGCAGATCTTGCAGATGTAGGGCCGCTCCCCGCTGTGCGTGCGCAGGTGGCGGATGAGCGCCGCCTTGTCGGCGGCGATGTAGTCGCAGATGTTGCATTGGTAGGGCGAGATGCCCAGGTGTGAGCGCACGTGCGCGCGCAGCACGCCGGAGAAGGCAAACACCTGGTTGCAGAAGCGGCAGGGATAGAGCACCTTGCGCATGGCCTGCGGCTTCTTGCCTCCGGGCCCCGTCATGATGGCCTTGAGGTCACCCTCGGTGATCTCCTGCTTGATCTTGGCCTCCATGCTCAGGGGCAGCAGCGCTTCGATGATACTGTCCTGCTCCAGCTGCGTCTTTATCTCGGGCTGGCCCGGCAGCTGGACCCGGGGCTGCTGCAGGAGGAGCTGTGCCGCTGCGCTGGGCTGCACGGACTTGGACTGCAGCAGGTGGGCGTTGGAAGCGGCCTCCACAGAGCCTTTGAGGAGCTTCAAGGGCGGTGGGGGGAGGCTGGGGCTGATGCACCCGGGGGAGGCCTGCTGGGCGTTGATGAGAGGTGGGGGCGTGGAGGTGGCCACCACCGTCCTCGGTGTGACCAGGGGCTTTGGCTTCAGACGGGGCATGTGCTTGAAGATCGCCTGCAGAGGGGCGGCAGGGGCCTTGGAGAGAGGCGGAAGACTGATCTGCGGGGGGGCCGAGGCCGCCATCTTCAGGCTTTGCTGGATGTCCGCCAGTTCGATGGCCGACTCCCCAGAGATAGGCTTGACCACGATACTACTGTCGGGCTGGATGACGAAGCCCTTCTGGAAGGGCTGCAGGGACAGATGCTTCATGCTCTCCTTGGTGGCAGGGAGGACCGTGAGAGACCCGCCCAGGGAAGTAGCTTCGAAAGGAGACAGACTCAGCACGCTGGTGCAGCCGGGGTCCTGAGGTAGCTGGCACTTGAGTGTCTGGAGCTGTGTGGCCTGGCTGCCCTCGGGCAGGGGCTCCTCGTCGGGGGCAGGCCTGACGTCTTTGGTGTGCTGCAGGCCCAGGAAGGCCAGGAAGACCTTCTGGTCCGGGGCGTCCTCAGGCAGGGCCTTGGCCTGCAGCTTCTCCTGAGCCTGGTCCGCGGCGACGTGAGTCTGCCTGTGCAGGATGAGCGAGGACAGCATGGGGAAGGCCTTGTCGCAGGTGTCGCAGACGAACCGGTGCTGCTCGCTGATACACCTGCGCAGGTTGGTCTCGCACCAGGCCTGCAGGGAGCCCATGGGCAAAACCGAGAGAGCAAAGGTGAGGATTCGGAATAGCACTGCAGGGAGCTGCAAAGAGCGAGTGTCGTCCGACTGCCTCAGCGCACGGCCTTTCTGCCCCGTGCACCGGGAGGGGACGTCCCCCTGCTCGACAGCCCCGACGGAGCAAGAAAGACCCCAAAGAGTCTTAAGAATCACGTTAGCTTGGTGAATGATGTCACCCCCCAGGGCATCGCCCCAGAGGACAACAAAGTAACAATACCACAGAGGTCAAACCCATGCTCTTTACACACGGATGCCTCTTGGAGCCATGCCGTTGTGTGTTGATAACGCACGGTTCTTGAGAAGCCAGATCTCATACGGACCAAGGTTTGAGTCCTGGGCCAGGTTAGCCTAGAACATGGCTGGCATGTGCAGGAGAGTCCCGGAGCCAGGGCTCTGGAGGAACGGGCTGCAGCAGGCCCTGACCTATGGGGATGCCCCTTTCTCTCCTCTCTCTCACTCATGCACTCCACCACAAATAAAGAAAAAGAAAAAAAAAGAAAAAAGAAAAGGTTGCTTCTTAAAACGGATGGCAAGAGGTTGGAGAAGCAGCTTCCCCTGTGACTTTAGGACATGAGCACTGCCTGGGAGGGGCACAGAAGAGAGTCAGCGTGGGGATACACACGCTGGCGGACACACACATGTGGGCACGTATGGTTGTGAACACAAAGATCTTCACTGCTGATATTTTCTACCTCGTTTTTTTTTTTTTTGGAGAGGTTTTTGCTATAGGGCGCGTGCACTCACCAGAAAGAAAGAGAGACAGGAAGAGAGAAATCACCCCCCAGGGGGGATGGCCCCGCCGCAATCCCTTCTTCTCCATTCTCCTCTCGGGATCTTTGGCGCACACATGCCTGGTGTGAGTTTGAGCCAGCGGGTCCAGGACTCGAACTGCAGTCGGCTACATGGGAGTCCAGCGACGTAACCATTAGGCCAACTGCTGGTCCCATTTTCTATTTCAATTTTTAAAAGTGGAAAAAAAAATCTGCAGGTTGTTTAAACAGGTGCTTTCTAAGCAGAGAATAATATGATTCTCGTGGTTCAGGTCCGTAATGAGCAAAATAATTTTTAATAGAAACTACAATACAGGATGGGACCAACAGTTGGTATACTGGCTACGTCGCTAGACTCTCATGTAGTCGACCATAGTTCGAGTCCCAGACCCGGTGACTTAAACATGCACTGTGCACATGTGTGTGCATGCCCAAGATCCCAAGAGGAGAATGGAGGAAAAGGGATGATGGGGGGGATTTCTCTCTTTCTGTCTCTGTCTTTCTGCATATGAAAGGAGCATATGTGCCCTATAGAAAAAAAAAAAAAAAAGAAAAAAGAAAAAAGGGTGGGACAAGGCAGAGGGTGAGGGATAGGGAACCAAGGATGGCAAAACAAACAAAACAAACAAACAAACAAAAAAACCAAAAAACCAATTATACAAGACATAAGAAATGGAGAATTATTTGCTGATAACATGTATGTTGATGTGCTTGATTGAGCCAATATACAGTGTATTTTGGATGGAAAATTCATTTGTATGTTGTAATGAAGTATAGTGAATTAATGTAAAAAATAAATAAATTTAAAGAAAAAAAAAAGAAACTACAATGCAGGAAATATTTACCTATACTGCGGATTCTAGAGAGTGAAGCCTAACCAGTGTAGCACGGGTGATAGGGTCCACTGTGCAGTACCTGGAGGCACAGCGGAGGCCCTGGGTTCAGATCCCAGGAAGAACCTGCCAGGTGAGCCCATGGGCCACGGCCCTGATCCCAGCTGGCTGGAAACCTCAAGGCAGGATTGCGGCTTGGGAAGACCCTACTGCAGGCTCCGTCTCTGTCCTCCTCTCATGAAAGACAAGAAATCAACTGGACGACTTCTTTTTCATTTATAATAGAGTGTGGACTCCTACGACACACAGAGCGATGGCCACCTGCCACAGGATGTGGCCCTGCAGGACCCCTTTCCTCCAGCCCTTCAGCCGTCCAGGCTGTCAGCTAGCCTTGGTCTGCTTGTGCACATCTGACACACCTCAGGCCAACCCGTCTGGGGAGTTGAACCACAGTTGCCCTGTGGGACCTGGCTCCTAATACCGCTGCGTCACAGAGCAGGCCCAAGAAATACACTTCGAAGAAAGATGAAACGAATAGGAGTATGAATTAAGAAAGAGCTGGTTTGGGGGTGGGGAGTAACTCACACCGTGAAATCCCGAAGCCCCAGGAATGGGTAAAGGCAGTGCGGAGCTCGCCCTGCACACAAGTTACTAGGAAATTCAACACAAATGAGGGGCCACCCACCCCTTCCAACCCAACGACCTGTGGAAGACGGGCAGGGTGAGGCTGGAGTTAGAAAGGCCTCATGACTTGACCCCAGCTGGTGTGCACCGGCCCGCGCGGCTGCAGGTCCCCATCGGCATACCTGAGAGATGAAAGGGAACTTCCTGCAGGAGAAGTCTGTGAACCCTAAGTCATGGAAGCCGGCAGGAATCGAAGGGTTGTTCTGGATGAAGGGCCTCCCCATGGCGTCCCTGGGAAGCTGTTTGTGGACAAGTGCATTGTGCCGAAGCAGGCCTCGGTGTGTTCGAAAGGTGACGCAGCAAATGTCACATCTGGGGGAAGGGAGGGATGGGACATGAGGACACAGCAAAGTTAGAATCTGCATTCATCTGTTCGCCTGGTTATGTTTTGTTGCTCATTTCAAAGGAGCAAAAGAAGCCATCACAAAGCCGGTCTGCTCATGGCTAGCACAAAAAAACCCTCCTTGTTTTTATTTTTAAAAGTTTTATTCTGGGGCCAGCAAGTGGCATGATGGTGAGGCCACTGGACTCCCACATGGCTAACCACAGTGAATCCTGGACCTGGAGGCTTGGAAATCACACTGGGCGTGTGTGCATGCACGCCCCAGATTGCAGGAAAATGGAGAAGGGACTGCAGCGAGGCCACTCCCCAGTCCACCCTGCGGCACGGTGATTCCTCGCGTTCCGTCTCGCTGTCTCTGTTGTGTTCCTCTCTGGTGAGCACATACACCCTATGGCAACAACCTTAAATTAAAACAAACAAACAAAAAACTTTGATTCTACCAGCTTTGGGATGCCAAGTTGTCCCAGCAGCACAAGCTGGAGCATGTGACCTTAAACGTCCAGATTCCGGGCCAATGAGAAAAACGCCGGGTCCCAGACTTACTCATTCATTTTTTTTTTTTTTTGGACAAGGTTTTGCTATAGGGTTTGTGCACCTAGGGCTTGTGCACTCCCCAGAAAGACAGAGAGAAAGAAAACGAGAAATCACCCCCCAGAAGGGATCACCATGCCGCAATCACTTCTCCTTCATTCTCCTCTCGGGATCCTGGGCACGCACGCACATATGCCTGGCGTTGAGTTTAAGCCACTGGGTCTGGGACTCAAACCATGGTCGACTACATGGGAGTCCAGCGACATAGCCACTACGCCAACTGCTGGTCCCCGCTTAGCCTCATTTCAACAGCTGGTCTGCGCTGGGTGGTGTGGAGGGTGCGCACTTCCATGACAACAGAGTTGTGTTGGACAGTGGCATGTGCAAAGCATCACCCACGCACATATGTGTCAGCATGCACCTGCCCCTCGCAAAGCCTCTAGGGTGGGGCCTCTCATCCGGTTTTCAGAGTAAAGCAGCCTGCACGTGCTCACACTGAGTGTGCTTTCGTGGAAACTGCCACACACTTCTTCTCTGCAAACCCAACAGTGCTGAAATCACCCCCGAGCAGATGAGCTCACGGCTGGGCAGCGCTGAAAGCAGGACATGCCCAGTATGGGCAGCCCTGCCCACCTTATCGCCGTGTGGCGGGCACCGTGGACATGGGCCTGCTCTGTGTCCACCTCTCCTATCGCCTCTGTTAACTCCAGGCCCCTCCTCAGCGGGATTCCTGTCATCGCGTGGCTGCATTTGGAATGCGGTTCCCACATGCTGCTCCAAACAACGCTTTTTTTTTTTTTTGAGTTTTTTTTTTTTTTTTTTTTTTTTTTTTTGCTATAGGGCGCGTGGGCTCGCCAGACAGACATAGAGAGACAGAGAGACAGAAAGCAAGAAATCACCCCCCAGGGGGGATGGCCATGCCACAATCCTTTCTCCTCCATTGTCCTCTCAGGATTTTGGGCATGCATGCACATGGGCTCTCCGTGAGTTTAATCCACCGGGTCGGTCCAGGACTCGAACTGTGGTCAAATACATGGGAGTCCAACGACATAGCCATTATGCCAATTGCTGGTCCACAGACTTTACTCATCTTTGTCACCTCTTCCTTCTTTAAACCTCAGTTTCTCTTCTCATCCTAATAGGGGGAGTCTTTGGCGTTACTGTGAGTAACAGATAACACAGTCCTTTGAAAACGGCAAGGGATTATTCTAAATTTAACCATTAGTTTATCTTGCTAGTGAAAACCAGAAATCTGAAAAGCCCATTTCCTGGTATGTTTGGGCCAACATGAAAATACAGGAAACTGAGTTTGCGTTTATTGAAAGTATTTTTTTTTTCCTTTTAAGTTTTTAGTCATTTATTTCTTCCAAGAGAGTCAGACAGACAGACAGATACCCCAACAGAGTGTTCAGGCTGCAATCTGCCCCCCAGCCTCTCTGAGCCTATGTGGTTGGCATAGTGTGGATGCCCAGTTTACACAGGGAGGCCTTGGGATATGAACCCAGGACCTTCCCATATGGGTCCAGCATTGCAGAGCAATATACCATGGATAGCTCAGTTCTTCCTTTCCTTTCCTTTCCTTTCCTTTCCTTTCCTTTCCTTTCCTTTCCTTTCCTTTCTTCCGTTGTTTCTTTCTTTTTTTGCCAGAGGGCATGTGTGTTGTCAGAGGGAGAATGAGAGGCAAACAGAAAGCACCCCCAGATGGGCCAAGGGCACGACGCAATCCCTTCTCCTCCTTCTGTCAGTCCTTTGGAAATCTTCGGGATGCATGCACATGTGACTGGGGTGTGTTTCAAGCTGCCGGGTCCAGGACTTTGCCCATGCAGCTGGCCACGTGGGTTCCAGCAGCCTTAACCACGAGGCCACAGGCTGGCCCTCTTCACTCTCAAGAGTGTCAGGATTACCCTATTTCTGTTCCGGCTGTGGACCCGTGGGGAGAGGCGCGTGTTCTGTCTGGTCAGACTTGCTGCCTCCGTGGAACCACACCCCCGAGGAAGGGTACACTTTCAAGGCGGGTCTAAGGCAGGCCATGCCTGCGCCTCCCACCTCCACTTTCACAGGACTTCAACCACAGCACTCCCAGCTCACATACATCTCACCACCAAGCTGCTCGAAGCACCAGAGGAGAAATCCCTGCTTCGAAGCCAGAGCCCTTCGGAGGTTGCTTAAAGGGAAAAAACGCCCACAGGAAAACTCCAGCCTCCGCCTCACTCAGCACCTGTTGGTCGACCTTAAATAAAACCAGTAGGGAAAAGCAGAACAGGGGAGTAGGCCTTCAGAAGGCAGAACCACTTGGTACCGTGAGCCCTCCCAAGGCCCCTAACTGTTTTGCAACCTTGTTTCAGCTCTTGAAGGACAAGAGAGGTCATTGTAAAACGGCGGACCACGCTGCTGGCTGCAATGTTCACGGGGTATTTGCAAACCTTGCTTGGGCTCAACAGTCTTCATGAGGCCACTGCAATAGGCCAGGTGGTCCCCAGGACTCCCTCCTCATCCTCGGCTTGTGGGGTAGCTCAGCTCTGCCAGGGATGCGCAGAGAGCACAATTGCAAAACACCAAGATGGGGCAGAGTCGCGCTTGGCGTCCAGGAGAGGGGAGGGGAGGCGGGATCATTTCATTTTGCAAGAGGTTTTGACCACGTGCCAGAGGGACATTTTACAGATCGGAGAGGCTGTGTTTTGATTTTCTGGCAACAGGGATGTCCCTATGTGGGAAACTGGAGGTAGCTTTTCCAAATGGAAATGAACTTTGCTGACAGTGAAGTTGAATGCATTTGGGGGAAAGTGCACCTCTTCGGAGGATTTAAAGAAGCCAATAGAATTCTATGGGCTCTTCTCAAAACACCCATTTTCTTTTTACATCACACCATCCTAGATGACTCAGAGGCTAAAAGCAAACAGAAAACATTAAGGAAAAAGGCACAAAAACTCATCAGTGGGAAAACCTCCCAAGGACGGTTTAAGGAGGTGGGACTCTGTTCGGAACACAAGGACAGACACAAAGACAGACGCTCACCCCGACCTTCGCTTCTACAAGCTGCTCAGTTTCTGTGAACCTCCAATTAGTGTGTCTCTGGGGTCTGGTGTGGGAAAGCTCATGCAACTGTGTCCAGGACCCCTGAGCATGCTGGATACATGCATGTGCCTATGGTGGGGACCAGCTGAGGCTGGGGGAAGACCCTGTTAAAAAAGCCTGTCTCTCTCTCTCTCTCTTTGGGAAGAAATAAACAAAAAGCCGTGGTTTTTTTCTTTCCTTTTTTTTTTTTTTTCGGAGAGGTTTTTGCTATAGGGCGTGTGTGCTCGCCAGAAAGACAGAGACAGAAAGTGAGAAATCACCCCCCAGGGAGGACGGCCACGCTGCAATCCCTTCTCCTCCATTCTCCTCTCGGGATCTTGAGCACGCACGCACATGCATACTGTGTGAGTTTAAACCACCGGGTTCAGTACTTGAACCACAGCTGACTACATGGGAGTCCAGCGACACAGCCATTACGCCAACTGCTGGTCCTCAAAAAGCCATGTTTCTGTATCCCAAGGCAGTACACGAGGGCCAGTGCGGTTCAGAAAATACCTGCATTCTAGCACGGGTTAGCCAGCGTCTCTGTGAGAGGCTAAGGTGTTTCGATCTCGATGCTGGAATAGAGCCAGCCTACGTGGTGCGGGTGGCAGAGTGCAGGGCTGACTGTGAGTTCAGATCCTGAATCAACCTAACACCTATCACCTGTGTGACAAACAGGCTCCTGAGGAGCTGGAGGGAAGGAGATCGCAGTGAGGACGCCCTGTCACATGATTAAGTAAGTAAACTTAAAAAAAAGAGAGAGAGAAGGGAGATGGAACCAGCAGATGGTATAACGGTTATGTCGTTGGACTCCCACGAAGTTGACAGCAGTCTGAGTCCTGGGCTAGTGGCTTAAAACTCACGCCGGCTGCATGTGCGTGCGTGCGCAAGATCCTGAGAGGAGACCGGAGCAGAAGGGATTGTGGTGTGGGCATCCCACCATCCCACCTGGGGCATGATTTCCCTCCTTCTGTCTCTACTGTGAGCACATGCAAAAATCGCTCTTTAAAAAAAAAAAAAGGAGAGAGAGGAAAGGCTACAATATTTCTCACCATTCCCCTCCCCTAAGATTGACGGTCCAGTCCCCAAACTGTGCGGCCTGCCTCCCACAGGGCTGCCTCACTGTGGCAGTGGCTGTTCTTAGGGCTGGCTGGTCGGTGTCAGCTGTGGGCTCAGCGTACACGGGGCGGGGCTCTCCCGAACAGCAGAGGGAAGCAGCTGCCCGCAGCTTATCTGCTCCCCCAGCACCAAAGCAGCTGCCCGCAGCTTATCTGCGCCCCCAGCACCACTGGTGCCTCTGAGGGCAGAGGAGGGGCCGAGTGGGGGTGTCGCGGGATGGGAGGGACCTGCCTTCCAGCAGCACATGGGGCAAGAGAGCCAG